GCTGGATGCGGATTAATCCCAATTTCCCGGGATGGATTACCCCCGGGGCAGCTTGTGAAACTTGCCTTGGGTCCCGAGCTCAGTCCCCCCTTCTTTTGTTTGGGACGCGGCCTTGGATGCACTGGTCATAGCTGGGCACGCCCTTCCCCCTATTTCCTTCCTTCCTGGCTTCCTTCTCTCCTACTTTCTTTCTGCTTCTCTTTTCTTCTTTTTTCGCTGTGGGCTATGGACAATGGTGGGCGCGCGGATCACTCATTCAGTCACTCACTCACTCACTCAGCTCGCTTCACTTCACTTCACTTCACTCCACTTCACTCCGCTTCACTCCACTCCACTCAACTCAACTCAACCCAACCCAACCACTCAACCCACTCCCTCCCTCAACCCCTCTCTACCCGACCTTTTGTTTCTACTAAAGACTTCACATGTGGGGCTCTCCGGTCCTTTATTCTCAACCAAATGCATTACATCGTTAAGCATACAAACGAACCCAATCTGTTGAAATCATTTGGTTGCGCGGATCCCTCATGTCAAACCCAACATCGTTGTTTTCGAAGTGCGTTTCGACTGCCCGAGCTCACACAAAGTGGGTGTCTGCAACTGATTCACATCCAGCTCTCCGGTCAGATTGTGACATCAGGTTCTGATGACGCTCCTCATGGCTCCAGGAAGGGGCCCCTTGTTTTCATGCGGCCTGACCCGGCCATGGCGAACTGACTTGGATCGTGTGCGATCCCGAGGAAAAAGTGCTTCTGCGCACTTGCACTTGCAACTTGGTGTTTCATCCTGTGAGCCCATTAGCGCTTCCTGCCAAACTCTGCCGCATTGGCAGCGGAGCACTGCTCCGGGGCTTTGGACTATCCCCTGAACACCTTGGCCGCGTTGGTTTCTTTGGTGACTTCAAGCAGCGGTGAACATCCACTGCGTCGGGCTAAGCTCTTGCGTGGTGGCGGCTTCTCTTCATCTCCGAGATTCTTCGGCGACTCCTGGCTGAGACCTGCGGCATAACAACAACGGCAACCACTTGCCGTAGGAGCTGAGGTCGACGGCAACCACTTTATGTTTTCTTTGCGAGCTAAGGAGCTTGCGCAATTTCTCCTTCCTGAGCATGAGCGAGATTCAGCTGGACGAGTTCCAACTTGGGAGACAAACCAAAGGATGGCGTCGCTACACCAAGGAGGTAGCATGGTTTGTGGCATCAACTCCTGTGAGCAAAAGGAGATATGTTGCTTCGCGACTGATCAGTCAGTTGCAAGGGCCTGCAAGACTCTTGGCAATGTCTTGGCACCGCTCTGAGTTCGATAGCAATGCTGGCACCTTGATCTTGTTGCGGAAGTTGGCAAGTTCTCCCTTGGTGCGTCGAACCTTACCCAACACTGCAGCGATTCTTCAACAATACCTTGGTTTTAAACGGCGACATGGTGAATCTATGGCGAATTTCCTGGTGCGTGAGACCTTAGGGTATGAAGAATTTGCTGAAGCTCTGCAGCGACTTTGGGAAGAGCGCAACGGCATTGACCAGTCTGAGCTGAACTTTGGACTTCCTCCTGAAGAAGATGCTTGTGAGACTTGGTGGTATGATGATGCATATGAAGGTGATGGTGCTTCAACCTCTCCACCTCGTGCTGAAGTTGAACGTTCTGCAGATCCTGAACAACCTGGTGATGGTGAGCGACCTGCTGAGTCGTCTGGCGCGGCCCCACCGGATGATGTGCGAGCAAGTGTTGGCTCTTCACCGAGTCATGGGCGTGGTCCAGTACCACCTTCTGGTCCTCCGTCCTTGCACTCAGCATCAGTTCAAGCTCCATCTTCTTTGGCGGTGCATGAACTTTCGCCCACTGATTCCTTCATCATGGGTGTCTTGCGTGGATGGCGTCTTCTCCAAGCAGCTTGCCTCAGTGCCGAGGAAACCAGAGATATCCTCTCAACGACCCAAAACAAGCTTGAGTTTGAGGCGATCAGCAAGGCTCTTCAAACTTTGTGGGATGAGCAACTCTTGGGCCAGAGATATCCTTCCTCTATGGCATCTGCGAACCATGGACATCTCTACTGGCAGTCTTGGGAAGCTTCTCACGACTATGACTGGTGGGCAGAAGCCCAATGGCATGATGAGCACTATGGTGATGATTGGAATTGGGAAGATGACCACGCTGGTCATGATCCTTCCACTCTTGCGTCAGTTGATGAAGAAGATGATCAACTGAAAGAGGCGCAACAAGCTGAACAAGCAGCTGAACAGCTGGCCTTGGAGGCCAAACTAACTTGGGTCGAAGCCCGTGGCTTCGGTCAGATCAGCACAGCAGCTGTGAAATGCTTCAACTGTGGTGGCAATCATTTTGCTCGTGATTGCCCTGACAAGCGTGTCATTCCATACAAGGGTGGCAAGGGTAAAAATAACCATATGATGGATTATGACGACCCCCAGCTCTACTACATGAATGGTGGAAAGGGCAAGGGTAAGAAAGGCTTCAAGGGCAAGACCAAGTCCTCCAACCTGATGGACTACCAAGCTATGTGGGCCGGCAAGTCCAAAAGCAAGGGCAAGATGTCCCATGGGAAGTCAATGAGACCTCCAGTGAATGCCTACACGGCCTTCTATGACCTTGGTGGCATGGAAATGCAGCAGCCCTTAACCTTTTCGGCTGCCTCTGCTGTGAAGGAGACATCAACCACTTCGTCTTCTTCTGGCATGTTGGACTGCGGCGCAACAGCCTCTGCAGCTCCTGATTTAGCTGTTCAAGGTTTGATTCAAACCATTTTGAAACAAGACTCTGGAGCTCGCAGCGACATCCAGTCATACATGCGGCCGTTTTTCAGGTTTGGTAATGGGAAATGTGGACAAGCCCTATATCGTGCCACAATCAGTTCAGAAGTTTCAGGGCAACACCGTGAGTTTTCTTTGTACTCCTTGCCAAACCCTGAAGATCCTTCACCCAAAAATTTTGGGTTCCCATCCTTATCGGCATGGATCACATTGGTTCGGGTGGTTTGCAAATGATGGTGGATTTTCCAATGAAGAAGCAGAACTCAACAGCCTTGTCGAGCTCTTTGTCCAAGCCTTTGAGCAGATCGACCTCCTTGTCCCTGAAGAGTTCTATGAGTTTGTGTCCGCCTTTGTCCAAAAGTCCTCCAACGCCTCTGCAGACCTCCTTGTCCAAGAACCCAACGAAGCCCATGAAGAGCTCTTTGGTGAAACCTCTCACAACGAATGTGGCTTCCAAGGTGATGCAAATGGTGGCCTTGATGACCTCTTCTTTGATGTCGGTGGCCTTGGGTGCAAACTTTGAAGGTCGTGATGGTCTCTGGGAAGTGGCATGCTCAGAGAACAGCTGGCTGACTTCTGCAGCCAATGAACACGGCATTCCAAGCCGTCGCATCAACTTTGCTCAGGGCTATGACATTTATCGTCCTGAGACTTGGGCCAAACTACAAGAAGAATGTCGGCTTCGACGTCCTCGCAAACTTTGGTTCAGTTTGCCTTGCACTAAGTTCTGCAGATGGACTCAGGTAAACTACAGCACTCCTGAACGGAAAGAAGTTCTTGAAACCATGAGACGTCGTGAACGTCGCATGCTGCGATGAGCAACTTCGTTCATCCTTGATGCCTTGGATGAAGATCCCTCCTTGGATGTCTACTTTGAATGGACTCATCCTTGCAGCGGCTGGCAACAACAACCCATGATCCAGCTCGAGGAGAACCTCAAGAAGCGTGGCATAGCATGGGAATCTTGCCGCCTTGATGGCTGCAACTATGGGATGATGGACTCCAAGAATGAGTTTTTCCTCAACAAGAAATGGTTGGTGAAAACAACTGATGAGATCTTTTGGAAAAACTTCAGAGCCAAAGTATGTTCCCGCAATCATCAACACTCTTTGATTCAAAGACTTGAAACCTCCAGAACGGCGTGCTATCCTCAAAGGATGGTTGAATCCATTGTGCGGCACTGGAAGAGGCAACTAGTTCCTCTCCGGCATCTCAAGCTTCTGATTTCCAAGACTGATGTGCGATGTGATGAGGATGAAAACTGGGAGCGCAGACTACATCCTGCGGTTCTTCAAGATGGTCCTCATCTTCCTCTACAAGATCCAACTTTGAATGAAACCATGGCAGCTTCTTCACCTGCTGGTGAACATGATGGGCAACTTGTGCCTGTACCTGCAGAAGACCATGAAGGTCAACTTGAGCCTTCTCCTGATGTGATAGACCCACTTGATGGTGTATCTTAAAAAGACGAAGATGTGTGGCAAGCACGGCTTTACTACTATCACCGTGCGGCTGGCCACCCAACCAACAAGAACCTGGTGCATCTCTTTCGCGATGCTGGCCTTGAACCATGGAAACTTCACATATGGCAAAGAACTTCAAGTGCGAGGCCTGTGAAAGCATCAAGCCTGGCGGATCAAGTTCTGGAAATGTGCCACCAGCGGCCACATATGAATCCTTCAGGCCATGGCAAGCGGTGGGACTTGATGCCAGTGAATGGCTTGTACCTGGTCAGCGCGTCAAACTGAAGTTTCTGCTTTTCATAGATCTCGCGACCAAACTGCGAGCAGTTCATGTTGTCAAGGAGTATGACCTCTGCGAGATGAAAACGGAAACCACTGCAGAGGTCATTGCTGGCTTTAGTGAAAAATGGTTGTGCGACAAGCCGAAGCCTGCTCTTTTGATCCCTGACAACAGCAAGACTTTCCAAAGCAGGGAGATGCATGAGTTTTGTAGCCAAGCTGGTATTCAACTTTGCTTTCCTGCAGAAAAAGAAAGTTGGGCGCATGCAGTTGTGGAATCAGCTCTCAAAGACATCAAGCTCACAGCATCAGCAATCCAGACTGACTCTCTTGGATTGTCTCCACGGATCACACTTCTTTTGGCCTGTGCAGCTCTCAACTCCACTGAGTATACCAAAGGGTTCTCTTCTTTCCAGTGGTGCTATGGAAGGGACTACGTCCTGGAGGATGAAGACATGCGAACCTTCAAGGATGTTCAAAAGTCCGATGACACCATGTCCTATGAGGCCCTGGTGAGAGCTAGACAAGATGCTGAAGCGACAGCTCGTAAGACTCGAGCCCTGCGTGTCATGAGCAAGCTGAAGAACTCCAAGGTTAGACAACCTCTGCGAACCTTTCACCCCACTCAGCTGGTGAAGGTTTGGCGAAAAGCACTTCCTTCTGAACTTCATCAAGGACGACGTGGTGGTGGCAAAAAGTCTGGCCGTCCCCATTGGATTCGTCCAGGTCGTGTGGTGTTCCATGAAACCTTGCCACACCAGTCCTCTGATGATCATAGGAGACATCTGGTATGTGTTGTCATTGGCAACCAGTTGATGAGGTGCAGTGTTCACTCGGTCAGACCGGTGTCAGCCACTGAACAAGCTGCGTTTGAGCTGGCCAACAAGGATGATCCAACACAGTGGAGATCCATTGCTGACCTGCTGCCCTCAAGATCTTATGAAGATCTCTCTGATCAAGTTCCTGGCGAAAACGAATGTGAAGATCCAGAACTCCCAGACATACCAGATCCTTCCTCTGAGCTGAAACCAAAATTCCGGTTCAACAGCAAGACCACACCTCAGCCTGAGAACATGGAGACCCTTGATGAATTTCATCAACGGCGTCCTGCTGCACAATTCCAACATGCACCTGAAGTGAATGAATACGATGATGATGAAATGTATGAGCCAGAATCGCCACTTGATGCCGAACCACCTGATCCTGCTCCTCTACATGAACCACCTGCTGTTGCCAACGAACAGCCAGAGAAGAAGCAGAAGGTGGAAGAGTTCTCCTATGTGGCGTCAGTCTCTGAAGATGGTGTTCATCGAGCTCCTGGTGAACACGAAATGCTATGGCTCTATCAAGCAATTGCTGAGGAAGACCACCAATGGGACTGTTTCCAAACAGTGTTAGCTTCTGACATGGAGGCCTTGACGATGGAATTCGATTTGGACTTTCCCTCCAACAGAAGCCGCAAAGATTTTCTTCACAATCCTGCAGCCTTTCTGGTGAAGAAGATGCGTGACACTGAAGTGGTCTACAGCAAGCTGAGCAATGAGCACAAAGAGCTCTTTACAAGGGCAAAAGCCGAAGAAGTCTCCAGCTCCCTCTCCAATGAAGCTGTGCGACGCTGCCTTGACAGCCGCGAGATCCAACAGGCCTTTGACAGCGGCCGGATTCTTCGTGCTCGCTGGGTGCTCACGTGGAAGTTGGTTGCTCCAGAAGACCAACAAGAAGCTCTCAAAGATGGCCAACAAAATGACCAAACGGTGCACACTCGCGATGGCCTGAGAAAAGCAAAGGCGAGATTTACCCGCTTGGGTACGAGCATCCTGATTTGGGTGAAAGCTCGTATCGCACCAGCAGTCCAGTTTGCTCAGTCATTGCCCGCAACTTGATGTATCAAGTTGTCTGCCAACGTGAGTGGAAGCTAGAGGGCCTAGACCTGGCGACAGCCTTTCTTCAGACAGCTCCTTCTGCCGCTGACTCCCAGCTATGGACGTCAGGTGTGGCAGAGCTCAGGGAAGCCCTCCAAGTTGGCCCTGCAGGCATCATGAAGATCCAGAAGAACATTTATGGATCGACGACGGCGCCGCGAGGCTTGTGGTTGGATTTACACAAGACCTTGTGTTCATTGGGCGCACGTCCTGCAGTGGGCGAAAGATGCTTGTGGCCCTGGGCTAGTGAGACTGATGAAGATGGCTTTCCAATCATCATCGGCATGATGTGTGGACACGTGGACGACTTTCACCGCATTGGGGATCCACGTTCTGAAGAATGGGCCTATATCTGCAAGCGCAGTGACGAGGCCTACAAGTGGGGAACTGCAAAAGTTGATGAGTATCGACATGCTGGTACTGACATCCAAGTCACCCGTGATCGCGATGGCGACCAGGTGATAACGGTGAACCAGCAATACTACATCGACATGCTCCAGGATGTGAACATCCCCCCAGATCGTCTTTGCAATGAGCAGGCGAAACTGTCCTCTTCAGAACTGGCCTCTTGCCGATGTGCACTTGGCAACTGGCAGTGGCTGGCGATCCAAACTCAGCCATTACTTTGTGGTCGCTGTAATGTTTTGCTCTCAGAACTGGTAAAACATGGAAAAATGATTTCTGCATTGGAAATTCAAAGGATGATTTGTGAGGTGCGACAACGTCCCTCCGAGCTCAAGTTCTTCAAGCTGAAGACTGCAAAAAGCTGGAAAGATGTTGTGGTGATCACTCTTTCAGATCAAGCACACAACAATCGTCCTGGTGGTGACTCCACTGGCGGTCTTGTGACCATGATGGCTGGACCAGAAGCCAAAGGTGGTCATGTTTGTCCAATGGTGCTTTTGTCTTGGAAAAGCTGTAAGCTGAAACGAAAAGCAATCAGCTCCAATGACGCTGAAGTTCAAGCAGCCCTAGAAGGTGAAGATCACAATTTTCGTGTACGTCTTCTGTGGACTGAAATGCATGGTGCTGGCTGAAGTAGAAGTTCTCAAATTGACCAAGTGGCCTGGGCAGAACAGCAAGTTCGCAACACCTCTTGCATTTTGGGTACCGACTCAATCGACTCACGTGGTGGCTATGATGCAGTGCTTGTCAACGAAAGCCCTATGCTTGGTTTGAGCAATGTGCGGGCGGCTCTTCAAGCTCTCCAACTGCGAGAAAGTCTGATTCGCACCAATTGCCATTTGAGATGGCTAGCAAGCGATTATGACGTGGGCGATGCTTTGACGAAGAAGAGACCATGCTGTCGGATTGGGCTCCAAAAGTCCCTGAAGACCCGGCTTTGGTGCGTGGCCTTTGATCCCACTTTCACTGCAGCTCGAAAGAATGCCCAACGTGGGAAGTCAGCAATCAGTGCCATTGACTCCAAGCGGTCACAATGTGATCTTTGCTTTTGGAGTGATGCAACTGATTCACATCCAGCTCTCCTGTCAGATTGTGACGCCAGGTTTCATGGCTCCAGGAATGGGTTCCTTGTTTTCATGCGGCCTGACCCGGCCATGGCGAACTGACTTGGATCGTGTGCGATCCTGAGGAAAAAGTGCTTCTGCGCACTTGCGCTTGCAACTTGGTGTTTCATCCTGTGAGCCCATTAGCGCTTCCTGCCAAACTCTGCTGCAGTGTCCCAAGCTTGCTGTCACAGTGCATCGATTTGTAATTCTGACATCGCGCGGTTTCATGTTCCATTCTTGGAGGAAACCTCGGGCAGAAGCTCCATATCGATCTCTACAACTGGTGTGCGGTGATGAAATCTTGTAGAATGCCTTGTTGGTTTTTGCTTTGCTGGTTCCTTGTCGAGAGATCTTGTGAGTTTCTCTACGGTGTACTTCTCTAGACTTCCTTGAAAAGAATATCTGCTAGAAACCCTTGCGGGGTCCTCTGCAGGCTCCTTGTCTAGAGAGATCTTGTGAGTTTCTCTACGGTGTACTTCTCTAGACTTCCTTGAAAAGAATATCTGCTAGAAACCCTTGCGGGGTCCTCTGCAGGCTCCTTGTCTAGAGAGATCTTGTGAGTTTCTCTACGGTTTACTTCCTAGAATTCCTTGATAAGATTATCTTCTAGAAACCTTTGTGGTCCTCTGCAGGTTCCTTGTCTAGAGAGATCTTGTGAGTTTCTCTACGGTTTACTTCCTAGAATTCCTTGATAAGAATATCTTCTAGAAACCTTTGTGCGGTCCTCTGCAGGTTCCTTGTCTAGAGATCTTGTGAGTTTCTCTACGGTGTACTTCCTAGAATTCCTTGATAAGAATATCTTCTAGAAACCTTTGTGCGGTCCTCTGCAGGTTCCTTGTCTAGAGATCTTGTTTGTTTCTCTACGGTGTACTTCCTAGAATTCCTTGATAAGAATATCTTCTAGGCCTTTGTGCGGTCCTCTGCAGCTAGAGATCTTGTGAGTTTCTCTACGGTGTACTTCCTAGAATTCCTTGAAAAGAATATCTGCTAGAAACCCTTGCGGGGTCCTCTGCAGGCTCCTTGTCTAGAGAGATCTTGTGAGTTTCTCTACGGTTTACTTCCTAGAATTCCTTGATAAGAATATCTTCTAGAAACCTTTGTGGTCCTCTGCAGGTTCCTTGTCTAGAGAGATCTTGTGAGTTTCTCTACGGTTTACTTCCTAGAATTCCTTGATAAGAATATCTTCTAGAAACCTTTGTGCGGTCCTCTGCAGGTCTAGAGATCTTGTGAGTTTCTCTACGGTGTACTTCCTAGAATTCCTTGATAAGAATATCTTCTAGAAACCTTTGTGCGGTCCTCTGCAGGTTCCTTGTCTAGAGATTTTGTGAGTTTGTCTGCGGTGCCTTTGCCTATAGACCCTTGAGCAATGAGCAAGGATATTTTTTAAAGGAAGTCCTGCAAAGATTCCTTTTGCGAAGGCTTTTCCAGAGATCCTTCTTGACAGGTGCTGTTTAGACCCTTCAAGAAAGAGTTTCTCTGGGTTCATCTAAGGGATCCCTCAAAAATCCTCCCCCCACACCATTTGGGGCCCCTTGCCGGATTTTGGCGGTGTTTTATTTAAACCAGGCAGGTCCTGTATCAGAATTTTGGGGGCATTGTTCACGAGTGCTGCCCTTGACACGACAGTGGAAGCGGCTGCAGGTGAAAGCAAGACAAGGCCTTCCGTGCGCTGAGAAAGTCATGCCTTCGTCATCGAGTTCCCTTCGCCACCTGTTGATCACTTAAGAGTCTCCTGCTCAAGTGGCGCTACCAGAAAGACATTTGAATTGCAGTGTCGACCTTGATAGGAGGTGCACATTCTCGACAGCGAACAGAACGGATACTGTTAGATGCAGTGAATTGACCAATTGAGCGTATGCACTTTGTCTTTGGAATCACTGTCCGAGGCCAGCTTACTAAACTAGCTGTATCTCAAGACATGAAGGACTTGCGTGGCAGTGTTGCAGCTGGATACTTAGCGATGACACCGATGATGACACCTCTGTCTTTCACTCGCTTCATGAAAGGAATTGAAAGGAGCCGGACGCCAATCTAGGCGTTCTGAACTCATTTGCAGCAGCAGCAGCAGAAGCAGCACACACCCAAAGATCCGCGCGCTGTAGATATTGTAGATGTTTTGCACCTAATACCTCTTTTAACTTTGAGTGTTTGGATTCCTTCCTGCCAGAAATCATAGAAGCAATTGACGCCTCCTAAGTGACAGTGGCCTCAAAGAAGTTTCTTTTAGCGTAGGGAAGTCACTAAATTTGCTGGGAAGGCGCTGCCCTTGCTGCTCTGGATACTTGACGCCCGATTGGCAGCCCACCAAACAAACGGTGGCTGTCTGTCGTTCCCCAATGTGTGCAGGATTTCTTAACCTAATTACGAGGAGACATGAATTCTGCTTGATTGAGCTGGACGGAGTGGTGCTCGAGACGGATCTGCTGGCATTCGAAGGCTTGGTCAGGCACTGAGTCGGCATGAACTAGGGTGGACGTTGTCTATCTCTGTTCAGATGGGACCGAGGATTCACCTGTGATTACAAAGCACTCCAGAAATCAAACATATACAAACGTGAAGCTTTTTCTGAGACAGTCGCGATGCCGGACAGCAAAGTTGGATGAAATGAAGAAACACGCAGTGTCTGCCATTTGTTTTAAACCCGAGAGCGGCAGGCGATGCAGCCCGGAGTTTTGGGTATTTGAGAGTGATTCAAACTGCATCCAAGCATCCATTGCATGTAGTCCCTGAGCTATCCGAGAGGCAACCCAATTTGGTGAGAATTGTTCAGCTGTCCTCCACTGTCAGACTCAAAGGTTGGAACATGGTAAAGCCTTCGGTTCTTTTTGCAATGGGTTGGTCGTGGGCATTTCGAGCAGCAGCAGCAGCAGCAGCAGCCGCCGCCGGCAGCAACCGCAGCAGCAGCGCAGCCGCCGCCGCCGTCCGGCCAGCAGCCGCAAGCCGCAGCTCTGCTACGGTCAGGCCTGGCCCGCCCCGCCGGGGCCGGCGGGCGGCTAAGGGAGGCGGGAGGCGGGGGCGGCGGTGGGGAGGCCGGGGCGGGCTGGGGCGGCGGGCGGGGGGGGGCAGCAGCAGTGGGGCGGCGGCGGGCGGCGGGCCGGCGGGGACGGCGGCGGGCGTGCGGCGGCGAGGACATCTGCCGCAGCAGCAGCAGCAGTGCAGCACAGCAGTTCAAATGATGCGGATTCTGCGCCTAAGTAGATATTGTAGATGTTTTGCACCTAATACCTCTTTTAACTTTGAGTGTTTGGATTCCTTCCTGCCAGAAATCATAGAAGCAATTGACGCCTCCTAAGTGACAGTGGCCTCAAAGAAGTTTCTTTTAGCGTAGGGAAGTCACTAAATTTGCTGGGAAGGCGCTGCCCTTGCTGCTCTGGATACTTGACGCCCGATTGGCAGCCCACCAAACAAACGGTGGCTGTCTGTCGTTCCCCAATGTGCGCAGGATTTCTCAACCTAATTACGAGGAGACATGAATTCTGCTTGATTGAGCTGGACGGAGTGGTGCTCGAGACGGATCTGCTGGCATTCGAAGGCTTGGTCAGGCACTGAGTCGGCATGAACTAGAGTGGACGCTGTCCAGCTCTGTTCAGATGGGACCGAGGATTCACCTGTGATTACAAAGCACTCCAGAAATCAAACATATACAAACGTGAAGCTTTTTCTGAGACAGTCGTGATGCCGGACAGCAAAGTTGGATGAAATGAAGAAACACGCAGTGTCTGCCATTTGTTTTAAACCCGAGAGCGGCGGGCGATGCAGCCCGGAGTTTAGGGTATTTGAGAGTGATTCAAACTGCATCCAAGCATCCATTGCATGTAGTCCCTGAGCTATCCGAGAGGCAACCCAATTTGGTGAGAATTGTTCACCTGTCCTCCACTGTCAGACTCAAAGGTTGGAACATGGTAAAGCCTTCGGTTCTTTTTGCAATGGGTTGGTTGTGGGCATTTCGAGCAGCAGCAGCAGCAGCAGCGGCAGCAGCAGCATGTGTGCAGGATTTCTCAACCTAATTACGAGGAGACATGAATTCTGCTTGATTGAGCTGGACGGAGTGGTGCTCGAGACGGATCTGCTGGCATTCGAAGGCTTGGTCAGGCACTGAGTCGGCATGAACTAGAGTGGACGCTGTCTAGCTCTGTTCAGATGGGACCGAGGATTCACCTGTGATTACAAAGCATTCCAGAAATCAAACATATACAAACGTGAAGCTTTTTCTGAGACAGTCGCGATGCCGGACAGCAAAGTTGGATGAAATGAAGAAACACGCAGTGTCTGCCATTTGTTTTAAACCCGAGAGCGGCAGGCGATGCAGCCCGGAGTTTTGGGTATTTGAGAGTGATTCAAACTGCATCCAAGCATCCATTGCATGTAGTCCCTGAGCTATCCGAGAGGCAACCCAATTTGGTGAGAATTGTTCACCTGTCCTCCACTGTCAGACTCAAAGGTTGGAACATGGTAAAGCCTTCGGTTCTTTTTGCAATGGGTTGGTTGTGGGCATTTCGAGCAGCAGCAGCAGCAGCAGCAGCAGCAGCAGAAGCAGCACACACCCAAAGATCCGCGCGCTGTAGATATTGTAGATGTTTTGCACCTAATACCTCTTTTAACTTTGAGTGTTTGGATTCCTTCCTGCCAGAAATCATAGAAGCAATTGACGCCTCCTAAGTGACAGTGGCCTCAAAGAAGTTTCTTTTAGCGTAGGGAAGTCACTAAATTTGCTGGGAAGGCGCTGCCCTTGCTGCTCTGGATACTTGACGCCCGATTGGCAGCCCACCAAACAAACGGTGGCTGTCTGTCGTTCCCCAATGTGAGCAGGATTTCTCAACCTAATTATGAGGAGACATGAATTCTGCTTGATTGAGCTGGACGGAGTGGTGCTCGAGACGGATCTGCTGGCATTCGAAGGCTTGGTCAGGCACTGAGTCGGCATGAACTAGAGTGGACGCTGTCTATCTCCGTTCACCCCAGCATCCCTGGCGTACAGTAGCAATTTATAGTCAGTGAAGCTTTTTGCAGAGCCAAAGGTAAGGTGGCGTAGTCTAGCTGCCCAAACAACAACGGCTCCA